GAAGCTATAGGAAATAAAATTTTGTGTCTTTTCTATCATTTCTATACTCAAGTGACATGATACAATAAATCTGAGCACAAAAAGACTCTTGCATTCAACTTTTTTTGCAGACAGTATGGTCTGATACAAAGATTTTTCACTTTTTAGTGAAAAACATGCATGCAATTTTAGTCTCAACAGGCTTATATTTGAACCACTTGCTATCCTACAGAAGAAAAGAAAGATATTATGTGACATAAAACAGGTACAAAAGACATTGTTAAGTGCTTTTTATACAAATTTGGTGAGGTCTTTATAATGGACTTCAACTTTTATGTTCCAAGCTCCTCACATTTAACTTGATCCAAACAGGGCGTTAGACGAGGATCATATATACAACACATTTTGCACATATTGTCTGAGATAATCTTCTTTTCTGTAGATTCAGAGTTCACAAATGAGTAATACAACTGGACTGAAGCATAGAAACACAAATATTGACACATAAAAACCTGTCAGATAGAAAGTCAGAATGCCACTTATGCATTAAAATTGAAAAAGCTATGAAATGCTTATTTTGACCCTAAAATGCCAAAATTGGTCATTTTTGCAGACTTTCTATCAAATAAAAGTTTAAATCCTTTAGTTTTATGCTATTTGATAAATTGACACCATCAAATCAGGGAAGTTGCCAAAGTACAGATTCTATATTTCCTGATTTCACCTCTTAGGTCCGAGTACACAGTTATTTCGTAGTGCATTTCTTTTAGACAATAAATGAAAATTAAAAAAATCCCACCTGCGCTTTCTCAATAATATTTTTACAGTGTGTTGTACTACTTTTGGGACAAATTATATCAAATTATAGAAAACTTCATCGGCTCTAACTCAAAATATGGACAATTTCATGTTAAGGGGGTCTTCAAATCTTTTGACAGCTTCCGAAGTGCTAATTTTTAACATTTTTCAGCTGGACCAAATCACTACTTTACTTTAAAATTCATGACCCAATTTTTTTTACAGTGTCATTTCACCCCCCTAAATACTATTTGAGTCATAAAACATGGAGAAATAAATTTGGAAGAGGTATCAAAAAAATCGACAAGTAACACACTGTCCACACTAGGGACTATATTCGTGGACAACGAAAATCAAAGGACGATAACTGTGTACCCGGACCATATGGGAACCAATTTTTCCCTTCTTCCAGCACACTTTTATTTTTGTAAATTCTTCTACAGCAGCTTCTCAAAAAAAAAAATATAGAAAAAAACTGTTTACATCCTTAACTTAAAGTTCTAGTATAGAAGATGTCATTATACTGAATAATTTAAAGCTTGGTGAATGTGAAGGTTGCATCTATCCCAGTGAACTTTAAGTAAAGGATTCCGCATACACGGTTAGGTCTGTTTCATATCTTAACTTACATCAAGAATAACATTAACGGTACCTATTTTACTAGACCAGATTTGCATTTCGACAATAAATGTCTCTTCAGTGACGCTAGAGGAAAAAATATATGAAAATCCAAACCTATTTAAAATACTGAAGAGCTAATGAAACCCAAAAGGACAAAAAGAAGGCCAAAGCTGGGCACGGAATCAAAACTTTGCATAAGGGAGATATATACCTTAATCTAAAATAATTTCAAAAATGTTATACCAGAACATTTTAATAACAAAATATCCGGATTTTCATGCAAGTACCAAAGTACTGGCTACTAGCCTGGTGATACCCTCGGGGACTTACAGTCCACCACCAGAGTGTTTGTAAAACCAAAAAGTACAAAAAGTATAACCAAGCCGTGCAAGGAATCAGCGCTTTGCAAAAATGAGATATATTCCTTTATTTAGAATAATTTCAAAAATTTCATTACAGCAAATTTTAATAACACAATATCCCTATTTTCATGCAAGTACCGAAGTACTGGCTACTAGGCTGGTGAAACCTCGGAGACTAACAGTCCACCAGCAAAGGTATTGATCGACCAAATGGTAGTAATAAAATTAGAAGTAACAATTTTACTGCATTGGATGCACGTTTCGACAATAAATGTCTCATCAGTGATGTTCGAGGCCATTGAAAAATCCAAAACTTAACAACAACTAAAATTTACATCAAAAGAGAGGATTTCAGTTTCCTATTTATATCTCTATGTAGCAAAGTTCTACCACCATCAGCATTTTGAGTACATATCTCCTAGTGGTAACAATAATCCGCTTCTTCCGATTCCTATCATAATTTCCTGGATATATGTTTCCTTGATATATGTAGAAAAAGGCGTTATTGAACTAAGGTTTCTAAATGGTAAATTTGAAGTCTTCCTTTCAAACGTTTTATAGATGCCATCATGATTTGGTTGACTGCTATTGATATTGTCATTTGTCTTATCCACAACCCTTTTTCGTTCCGTCGATAATGACATAATAGAATGCGACTTATCGTCGAATTGTAACTTGCAAGTGGTAATGTGTCGGGTGTCACAAATGGAGTAGGAACTGCTTACCCTTCCGAAATACCTGCAATCATCCCTAGTTTTCGATTGGGTTTGTGGTGTATAGTTTTACGTAAGCGTTTAGTTGACTGGTGTTTGTCATTTCGATTTGTTTCCGTTTTGTCCGTGGTCTTTTTTACTTATAGTTTTTAATTGATTCCTGAATATTTTTTCCATCCATTTTCTAGAGCAAAGTGTTGACCTCGAATTATAACAACTTTCGTTTATACAATGCGCCCCAGATTTTAATATTTGTACTTTTATGACTAATGTGACAATCATTTTAAATTACAAATTTACATTTCCGTGACGACGTCCAGGAAAAACAACATTGACGTTTATGAGCTATTTTTTCCGATATGGAAAAGGCGGATAATCTGATAATCATATACCTCCGATGTATGAACACAACTAAGTTGATAAACTATGATCAGTCTGCCCTGTTGATATCAGGCAGGGCTAATATGGGTTTAATCAACCAGGTTACCATTGAACAACACTATTCACGCAGTTGGTTCCTGGAAATTTTTTAAGAGAAAGTTTTACCTGACTTGCGTGAAAAACGTAAATCCTATCAGATCCTCGTTTTATTTGTTCTTTTCAGCGCGTAAATCAATTGTTATTTTGTTAATTTTGGGGGGAGGGGGCGATACGAGGGATTTGGACGAATTTTCATTTTATTTTTTTTGTTTGTAAAGAAGTTACTAAGTTACTTATACATATAGAGAAATAACGGGAAACGCCAAAAAATATCACACAGTATAACAGACAACATTGACCACTAACCCAGACTCCTCCGGAAAAAAACCCCATAAAAACAAATAAAACAACAGCGAAAAACATATGGTCCAGTTAACCGGACTTGGTACACGCCCATTAGTATATGGCTAAATCCATACATTTTGTCAGGTAGACGATTCCGGTAAAAAATAACAAAGATACCAGTCTTATTATTTAGTACGAGAGTAGTGTGTTTCGTCTACGGAAGGAATATATTGTAGTTATACACAGTTGTGATGCTTAGTTTAACTATTTCATGGCGTTCTTTATCTAGCACGCATTAAAGATACGGTTAGCGTTCAAGTTAATTCGTTGTATTATTTTTAGCGTCTAATTATCCCATTGATACTCAATTGTAAGTATCTTTGTTCAGTAACATTGCATCATATTGTGGCCACTTAACGAGAACCTAAGGTATGAAATCAAGTAAAAACAAATATGCATCAATGAAACTTATTATTGATTTTTACAACTTTTTGCAAATATTCAGTTTTCTAATATTTTATAACTAGAACAGAGTTCTAATGATAATTTTATACATTTCTAAGTAATTGTTTCTCACAAACAATCCAATTTTGATTGCTGCAACTATCACCATACCAATTTCCATACATGGTAGACGATTTGACACATGAATTATTATCTCCTTTTGGTTCATCTATACCCCAGGTGAGGTACGTAGGATGACTGCCATCTATCCATCTGTATGTCTGATTCCTTAGTTTCTGTAATCCAATCCAAAAATCAGCACCCAACAAGTGCTTAGTAGTTTGACTTATTATGAAATTATATTCTTCTTTAGACTTAATGATAACTAAATCTGAACCATTTTTCATACAAAGTTTACGGGCTTCAGTAAAATTAGCCACTGACATATCAATAGAATAACAAGTATTCTCATAATATACCCAATCACCAGGCCCACATCTTGGATTTATTTGCATTTTGCATATAAATCTCAACGACATAAAACAATTGTTATCATTCCACTTTTGAGAGTCGGGTTTCAAAAGTTGGGCGCAGTTCTCGTTATTATTGAAGTTATTCGGTTCTGATTCTCCCCAATCAGTATAGTTCAAAATTGTTCTGTCACTCCAGACATATTTCCCATTGTTTTGAAAATTGCTGAGTCCTATCCACTGAGAAGTCTGTGTAAAATTAGTTATTAAAAAATTAGTTTCCCTTTTATTATGAACACTAACTAGATCAGTTCCGATACTTCGACAATAGTCACGAGCCTTAAACCATGTTCGCCGTTGTGAAAATTCTTTATAACACCATGCATCGAATGTCTTCCAGTCATTTGGACATTTTGTCAAAATTTCAGATATCCGAAAACTTGAGTTTCCACTGCCTTTAGATTTAATACATACTTCTGTATTGTAGCGAGATTTTATCAAAATGTGCGTCAGCCCAGCTACTAATACTATTATAATAACAGTAGTTATCGCTATCCAAAATTTTATGAGACACTTTGATTTTTTATCATGAACATAAGAAATATCAGATTTTATTTTCACATCTTTGCGCGTATGATATGGTTGAGGGTCTGGTTGAGGTTCACAATATGAGTGATACGAGCCTGATGGCTTTAAGTCGTCATACTTTCGATAATTATCTGAAATGGATGCAAGTTGTGTATATCCTTTCTCGTCAGTAGGTTCGTCGTATGTATGATCACTAGTTCTCATTATATTTCAATTATTTTCCATAAAATGTGGCTATATCGTCTTCATTGAATATTTACCTTTATAAAGTAGCAACACAATATTACACACGCGGATGCACTTTTACATTTTTGTGTAGATATTACAAATCATTATTGCCTCGAGTTGATAATTGTACTTTAATGACAAGTGTGAAAGACGGGATTTTATGGATCATCTCAAAATTACACATTTTTCATTGCGTGACAACGTTCGGAAATCAACTTAAACTTATACTTTACTGAAAGTATGACTTATCCATCATAAATAATATTCAGTTGTATTTATTCATTTTTGTTGTTTTCTCATTGAAACTTTTTTTGTTATCTGGGAGTTTATCCTATTCTTACGTCTTTTTTTCGCCAATTTACAATAAGTTAAACATATGATACTAAGTTATGGTAAGGATAAGTGCCACGGATGAGTCTTATGCTTACAAAACGCGCGTCAGGCATAATGCTTGATAAGTCTGGTATTTTAAATGAGTTTTATCAAGTATCAAAATAGAATCCTTTTCCTAAGTACTTGTTGCTCAAATATAGTTTCAGCTGTAAAACATGATGATTGATTGATTGATTTGTAACTGCTAAACTTCGCGTCAAGAAAAGGCTATATTGCGACGAAAGAACATGATGCCCATAATCAAATATACATTTTTCAAACAATATTCAGTTGGTTAATATTAGCAATAAGTTTGATTGGGCTTTGCTTCAAATGTCGATTCTACATTGATATGCACTTTATATAAACTACTAGTAAACCGTATCTCTGTATAAAAAAAAGTATAACAACAATACCAAACTCCAAGGTAAATTCAAAAAGAAGAAGTCCATAAAACTGATAAAATCAAACGTTATCAATTAACGGAACGAGTTTGAAACAACTGTCATATTCTTGACTTGGTACAGACATTTTCCGAAGAAAATGGTGGGTTCCATCTTGTTTTATATGTATATAGCTAGCTAAACCTCTCACTTGTATGACAGTTGTTTATAGTTCCGTTATATTGACAAAATTGGATGTCCGACCTACCGTAAACAGTGCTTTGGCCATTCGCTGATATGCGTTCATGTTTGCGCTTTCTAATCATTTTTCAATTGTTTTTTATTATACTATTCTGTCTCCATATTCTTTACCACTATCCGCTTAACAATATTGTCAGAGATGTTGGATATGCTGCTTTATTTAGTTACTCTGCTCTTTCTTCTTAAAACAGCTGTATTTTTTTCCTTTGTTTTGTTACATTATAAAAAGTTTTCGTCGTGGGCCCGGCGTTTCAGTTTTGTTCTGGAATGCTCTCTCTCTCTCTCTCTCTCTCTCTCTCTCTCTCTGTCTCTCTCTCTCTCGTTGTATCTGTATATTTATGATTTTAAACTGTTAAAAAGTGCCCGTTTGTTATCTGTTTTTGGCCGGGTTACACAATGTCCAAAACCGGTTAATAGTATGGATGCCAGGCGGATGAGTGCGACGATGGGTGGGCTGATGGTCATCGTGTCCTCAAAAATATCTTAGTAAATTTTAAATCCGTTTACTATTTGAGGATTACTAGCCAAGTCTTATTGTTCCTTATTGACAGCAAAAACCACAAAACATGATCAGCAAACAGGTTACTATGACAGAAATCGTAAATCCACTTTTTAAAAACTTAATGCCGTTTGAAGTCGATTTTTTTATCTTTTAACAATGATAAAATCTTCAAACTATTATTAAAAAAAAGAAACTTTCATCAGCAAACAAAATCAGCAGTACCAGATCTACATAACAAATCAGCCGTTTTTAAGAATCATTATCCTTAAAAGAGAGACGAAAGATATCAAACGGATAGTAAAACTCTTAAGTCGAAGACGAACTGACAATGTCATGGAAAATCCGTAAAACGACCAAAAGACAAATAACAATATAAAAAAAAAACAACATACAAAACTAAAGACAGAGCAACACGAATCCCATTAAAAACTGGATGTGATCTCAGGTGCTCCGGAAAAAAGATATTGCTACAATTGTGGAACCCGTCGTGTTGCTCGTGTAATAAAAACTCGCTGATAAGTGTAATTCGGTATGTCACAGTCGAGGAAAAGAGGACATGCTGAGGTTACGACAATTGGACCCTTGCCGATTTTTTATCCTTTTTTTGTTTTTTGTTTCGTTTTTAGTCAATAGCATTATCTTGACAAATATCTTGAAAGAAAGAAAATGTAAAAACAAAATGGTCAACAAGACAAGATGTACATATAATTAGTACTAGAACACACCCGCGACATCGCGGATCCGTGACTCAATTAAAGTACCTACGCCTTATTTAGAATATAGCAAAGTGCTCTCGACCAATGAAATTGTAGGATTTGATGCCTCTTAATTGTGAAGAATGAATGTAAATCATTTTCTAAGTAAGGGATTATCCTATTATTTGGGTCTATTTACAGTTAAAAACAAAGAGTTTCTATGAATGAGTTACAACTACCCCGAAGCATATTTATCAGATTGAAAGGATTTATCACACAGTGATTGAAAGTGACTAAAAGTTGAATTGTGAAACAAACAAAAAACTCAAAGTAAGTTGAAGTTTACTGGTGCAGTAAAATTGGTACCGTGAATGTTATTATGAAAATATTAATAACTTCAAATTACTAAAAAGATAAAAGTATATCTAAGCAATGCAAAAAAGAAACAAAAAGCTTTAAAATAAAAAAATAACCTAAATCTTTAGCTTTCAAAAACTTTGACTACTGGATCAGCGGTTGGGAAGAATAGTTATTTTCAATATTCCGATAAAATAGGAAAACAGGGAATTCAATTTAAGTTTTGAACATTATCTTTTAACGGCATTTTATTTGAACATTTCCCTGACATAATGAAATAGTATTTGATGTAAAAAACTGGACCAAAATATTGGCTGTGAAATCAAATTTAGTTGTAACTCAAATTGATTTAAACAGTAAATAAAAAAAAGGATAATTCCTCACTAAACAAATATCATGATTTACATTCATACGCACAATCAGGAAACATATACAATTCCTATCTTTTCTTTCTACTGTTGATTCACAGTACTATCTATAACGCATTTTTTTTTTTTAATATTTCCCAAATGATAAGAAAGTCCTTACATCACTAAAACTCATCCATAAATGACATGCCGAAAAAGAAAGTCATGCATCAATTATAAACATTGCACTGACAATGAAACTAATTCTTGAATACAACTAATCAAGAGATCATTTGAGCCTTGAGCACTTTACAATATTCCAAGTTTGTAAGAGAATGACAATCCCTTACTTCATGATAAGTACTCGCTAACGCTCGTACTTATTCAGGAAGAAAGGGATTTTCATTCTCTTACATATACTTATAGCCTGGATTTTAATTCACTTGCACTAATAGGTTTAAATAATATTCAACTACGGTTTTTACATTTCTGTATGTTTTTAGGACAATAATATTATATGAAGGAATGTATATACTCTTTTTGTTTTAATATTTTATTTCTTAATTTTTGATTTTTAAATAAGTAGTATTGAAATTAAGGGCTTTCAATACCGTGTGACACGGATGCTCCGATAACGGAGGAATTTACTACATGTAAGTGAGGAAGAAGACATATACTATTGGTATCGTTATCAGATTCGACCCGGAACATGTTAAATATTGGAAATATTAATTATGTGGAAGACAAAAGGGCCTGGAATGGCATAATATTTAGCCAACACCATAGTCCTATATTAGTTATATATAAAATTGAATTCTTTAATTTGTCGTTTTGAGTCATGCCGGCTAACAAATTGGACCTCGATATTTGAGTAGTATAGATAACATAAACCTTGTATTGACTCCTGATATGAGTTATAACACTAAAAAAGATGTTTACCTATCTATTAGCGTTTTGGAAAGTTATCTTGAAATCTTTATCAAAAAAAAACCAAACATTAGATAACAAAAGTGTTAACAAGTCAATATTGAGAAATACGTCTTGTATTGCACTTGTTGTCTTTATATTACAATCTATTTTCCGATTTGTCGTTTCATCAAATATCTCAAAAAAGTCATAGTGATCAGCAATATCAGATATATTAAAAGGTCATATGACAGAAATATTCAATCGACTCCTTATTGGAGTTAATGCCTGTTTGCGATTTGTCTATTATCTTAAATATTATTATAGATAGAGATAAACTTTGAAAAGAAATGAGTATCACCAAGACCAGATCTACAAATACGTAAGCATGGCTGACATGTTAGGGAGTTAGTACTAATGTTTGCTTGTTGACTATAATCTTGAAAAATAAAATATAGTTGCGAAATATTAATTTATATTGTTACATACTAATAGATAATGGTGATTTATATGCATTTCTCATTGTTGTAAATTCCAATAATATCTCATGTAAAATACAGCGACTCGTTTACGTTCACTCTCGAGACTTTTACTGGACCCTCACATGAGACTTCCAACTGAAGATGTCCGCCTTGATACTTAAAAATCAAGGATAAAGTGTGTCAAATATCAACAATCAATAGTCTGTGTGCATTTAAAACAACTTCTTGCTTCCAAATAATCGCGAAATCTGCATCAATCATCTCGAAGTGATGACTTTTCATTATAGCAACTGTGTGTAATACACGTTTATATATATATATGTCAAAAAGTATACTGAAATCATCAATGATAATGTAAAGTTTTTCCAAATAACGAATATTCTATTTCTGTATAGTAAAAAGTAAATAATCGCCGTATTTGAATAAATAATAAGACAACTTGTCACCAAACGCCGCTAATGATTACACTTGTGTTGCGCACTCGTTTAATCCATGCGTCGTTCGGTTACGCGTTGTCATATTTTTTTTATATCAGAATACGGCGATTAGTTATACTATAAATAATGTATACAGATAATCAATAAGAATCGTAAATGTTCATGACATTTTTGAATACTTGAACTTATCTGTACGATTAAATACTCTTGTTGCAGAAGTTAAATGTTTGGATGTTTTTGTGTACTTTTTGATTGTTTACAAAAAAAATATCGATCTGGCGGGCTAGGCAGGTGCTTCACCATTTGTATGTGAAGCACAATTGTCTTTTATCGGTGATGAAAAATGAAATATTTCCAATTTTAAAAACCCTTTAACTTAAATTTTCGGAAA